TCGCCATAATCGGAAATGTCTGGACGCTGATGGTGACCACTTTGTAATTGCAGAAATTAAATGTGACTTGTATTCATCTTTTGTTATCTGTATATATTGAGTATTACAATTAATACAGTTTCCCTTTCTTAAATGTGTATACATTATTTTCTGTACCATATGTATATGGTACGTAATCGCAATGATGATCTTGGCTTTTTGAATCTCCTTATAGCCCTTCTACTTTTTTTACAGATCATCCTTATCTGGCTTTAAGAACTATAAACCACATTCTCATACTCCATTTGAATTTTTAACACTAACATGGGACAGTTTTTCTTCTTTTCTTTTTGTGTATGAGCAGGACAGGCAGCTCAAAACAAGGCTGTGCTGAGAAATGAATGGGTTCAGAGAATACAGCTACAAACTACCTTAAAGGAAAATCCATTCTCTTTTCATTACATTATACCTCTATGTGCCAAAGCTTGCATTTAATTCCAGGTTTTAAGGGAGATTTTATGTGTATCCATAATCTGTTCTCATATACTTTACCCAGGAGATGTTAGCTATTTTCATTTAAAGTTGATCCACCATCACCAGACTTGTGGTTGAATTCAAAGACTTGAACCTCGTAACAGCTCCTAACAAGCTTGGACGACACAGATTATGCTCATTTTAAATGTGGAGAATATCTAAAAATATACTTTTCGAATTTCAGAGAAATATTTATAATTTCACGGAACAGAAAATGTTAAACTTAATTTCATGCTTAACACCTAAAGTGTTATTTTTAAATCACAGAAATGTTCTTACATTCCTTAATATCAGTAGAATGATTCTAAATAATTTTAATTATGAGAAAGCTTACTGACATAAATAAATTATTTTTACCTAAAGTTTTACCTAAACAAAAATCTCTGATTCTTGCAAGTATTTTCAAGATCAAAAAATTGTCAAATTCAATTGATATTAGACCTAGAAAAAATTCCAATTCCAAATTTTTCTTGAGAATTCATCACAATTAGTTTGTATTTTTAAACATTTGACCTTTATACTAATATGACTCTAATTTGTAGACATAAAGGAGGGTTAGTACAGTCTACTTTGGGCACTATGAATATGTTTTATAATGAAGAATCTTGGGAATTAAAGTAAAATGTGGCATGACATTTCTCAGTAATCAATAAAAGAATTTCATAATAATATCCCACTTGTAATATTAGATTATATAACAAAATCTACAAAACAAATTCATCTAAAAAATGTTACATTCCATAGTGAATTTGACTGCTTTTCAAGAACATCAGTCACAATTTACAGTCTAGTCAAAACACATATGTTACATTAGATTCATTTGCTACAACATGATAAATTTTAGATGACAAAGATCAAATCTACCGGGGGTACCCCCCAAAAAATGGATACACATGACTTGTATTCATCTTTTGTTATTGGTATATATTGAGTATTACAATTTTAATACAGTTTTTTCTTTTCTTAAAATGTGTATACATTTTTTGCCACCCTCTGTATATTTATAGAATGTAATCACGAATGTTTTTTTTTCCTTTTTCCCATTTTAAATCATAAAAAAGGAGCCACACTATTTTAATATTAAGGCAAACAAAAAAGTTAATTCCCAAATATTCCTGACAAAGAAAATAAAAATAACTTTTGATATTTTCCTTCCTTCCTTCTTTCCAGCCTTCCTTCCTTCCTTCCTTCCTTCCTTCCTTCCTTCCTTCCTTCCTTCCTTCCTTCCTTCTTTTCTTTCACCTTCCTTCCTTCATGTTTCCTTCTTCCTTCCTTCCTCCTTTCCTTTCCTTTCTTTCCATTGCTTTGCTTTCCTTTACTTTCCTCTTTCCTCTTTCTTTCTTTCTTGCAGAACCCCAACTTTATATCATGACTGAATTTCCAGAAAACATTTTAAAATTTAAAAGTAACTTTTTTTTTTCCACTCTCACTGTAATTTGCATTTGGTTGCAGCTTCAGGGGAGGTTTTCAACATGTCTTCAGAAGAAATAATTCTCATAGGAAAAAAAACAGTCTCCTCAGAATCCACTTTTTTTAATTTGTGTAAATATTTTATTGTGTATTTGAAAGCTTCCTTATATTCATATTTTGTAGAATGATTCAAGGTGTAAATAATATCTTCCATTAAATTTTAATTATGACATCAAAATGTTAGGTAACTACTATGTCTTACATGTTGTAATATAATTCAGAGAAAAATTAAATATAGTCTCTGTATATTCTTCCTTTAGCTTTATCTTATCTGGAAAGCTCTTTATCTCTCCTTCAATTTTTTTTTTTTAAAGATTTTTATTGGGGAATTGGGGGGATAGGAACAGTGCTGGGGAATTGGGGGAAGGGGAACAGACAAGTTGCTGTCGTTTTTTGTTCTTCAATCTAGTTGTGGAGGATGTCGCTTCACTGGCCCAAGTTGGCACCATCATTGCGCTCTTC